TCCCCCTCTCTCTCTGCCTGCCTCTCTGCCTACTTGTGATCTCTGTCTATCAAATAAATAAGTAAAATCTTTACAAAAATAAAACAATTCAATAGCATTAGGACATTTGAATGTGCAACAACTATATCTATCTAGTTCCAACACATTTTCATCACCCAAAAAGAAATTCTATTCCCAGTAAGCAATTGCCCATTTCCTCTCACGCAGCCTTTAACAACCACTAATCTGCTTTCTGTCTCTGTGGATTTACCTATTTTAGACTTTCATATAATGGAATCATAGAATATTTCACTTTTTGTGTTTTGCTTCTTTCACTTAGCATAATGTTTTCAAGATTCACCTATGTTGTATCATATATCAGCATTTTATTCCCTTTTATGACTGGAGAACATTCCTCTGAATATATATCACAATTGGCTTAAGATGGCAATACTGATCAAAGAGATCTGCAGATTCAAAGAAATTCTTATCAAAATTCCAATGGCCTTTTTTTCATGAAAATGGACAAGGTGATCCTAAAATTCATGTGAAATTGAAAGAAATCCTGGATAGCAAAAACAATCTTGAAAAAGAAGAATTAACTTGGAAGATTCATATTTTCCAATGTTAAAACTTAATAGGATGGGGAGAATGAATAGTGGCTGCAATTTACAGGATTTTATTTTGGGGTGATGAAAATAGTTTGAAATTAGATAGTAGTTATGCTTACATGTTGTAGCTGTACTAAAATCCATGGAATTTCCAATTTAAGGTAATTAAGATGGTGAATTTATGTCGTATGAATTTAACTTCAACAAAGAAAGGAGAATTTAATGGCTGGAAGTTTGAATAGTTATACTGATCTGAACTCATATTTATTCATTCAATTCGCTTTCTCTCATTATTATGCCAAAGTCTCAGATATTTTCAATTGAAGACCTAGGTTTAATTTAATTAAGAAAATCAAAGAACTTGAACTTATAATTATATAGAGGCCAAAAAACTATTATGCTCAACATTATTTAATATCAAAAGGGAGTTATTAAGTAAGATTTATGCATACAAAATGAGAGAAATCTTAAAGCTTTCTATAATTAAATTCTAAGTGAATGGTATAAATAATATTTAATCTCACAAGTAGCATTAATGCAATTTAAAGCTTAAATGGCTGATGTTATTTTAGTAATTACATTAGATCTGGGAATGAAAAAGAAATCCCCTTTTGTCTAAGTTTTTCTTCATCTTACCAAATTAATTTAATTCCCAAGAATTATCATTTGCAATTTGGACATCTTGTAAATCTGAACACTTTGTTGTGAGTGATTTTATCATACAGCTCCACTCTTATTTATACAACACAGAAGTATTCAATTTTCAGAGATATGTATATAACTTAATTTTCTTTATTTCCTCCATTTCCCTGTAGGGTTGTGCCCATCGGAATGGCTCAAATATCAAAAAAAGTGTTATTGGTTCTCTAATGAAATGAAAAGTTGGAGTGACAGTTATGGGTATTGTTTGGGAAGGAAATCTCATCTACCAATCATTCAGGACCAACTTGAAATGGTAAGTGGTTTAGTGTCAGGGTTATGGCATTAGTCTCTGTACAGATAAAAGTGGTTTTCCTCAAGACAATTATCAGATGATTTCACTCGTATGTGGAATTTAAGAAACAAAACAGAGGATCGTAGGGGAAAAGAGGGGAAAAAAAAAAAGGTGAAATCAGAGAAGGAGACACACCATAAGAGACTCTTGACTATAGGAAACAAACTGAGGGTTGCTGGAGGGGAGGTGGAAGGGAGGATGTGGTAATTGGGTGATGGGTATTAAGGAGGGCACATGATGTAATGAGCACTGGGTGTTATATGCAACTGATGAATCACTAAACTCTACCTGTGAAACTAATAATATACTATATGTTAATTACTTGAATTAAAAAAGAAAACATTATGCTAAATGAATGTAAAAAAAAAAAGGTTTTCCTCAAGGGGTACCTTAGTGGCTCAATCAGTTAAGCATCTGACTCTTGATTTCAGCTCAGGTCATGATCTCAGGGTCCTGACATCAAGGTCCCCATCAGCTCCCCACTCAGCACAGAGGGTGCATGGGATTCCCTCTTTCTTTTCCCCTCTGCCTATCCCCTCACTCACACACACACACTCTCTCTCTCAGTCCCTCTAAAATAAATCAATAAAGTCTTTTTTAAAAATGGCTTTTCTCAAATTTCTTCTCATTCCTTCTGTTAAAGAATCATTTATCTTGATTACTGAGTTTTTGCATCCTCCTAAATTTTGTGCTCAATGCCAGTGCCTCACTTGGCTCATGCTAATTCTGGGCTGAATATTTATATTCGACTTACAAGTGATATATATGTATGTGTATGTATGTATGTAATATATAGTATGTAAATAAGTTATGAATTGACTAGTATAAGAATGTTCATGTAGGATGCTAACTGTCCAATAAAATTCTAAATCTTACTTAGTATGTCTACATCATTAAAATATTCTGTTCATTGAGTTACTCTTTACTCACTTCATAGGCTTTCATACAGAAAAACCTAAAACAAACAAATTATGTGTGGATTGGGCTTAACTTTACATCCCTGAAGAGGACATGGACCTGGGTGGATGGTTCTCCATTAGATTCAAAGACGTGAGTCTTTCCAAAAACACTGTCTGACTTTCTATCTATTGTAGAACTTATCTTCATAAAGTACCTCTAAGTTTACCAAAATCTAATGTGAAATAATTCTTGATACTAAAGAATTTGAAAGGATGAAAATCAATTTAATGTTCATTGGAGTAATGATGGATATTTGGGTTTGTTTAAAAAAAAAGATTTGAAAACAGTAATTATTTTGCATTTATTGTTTAAAGACTACACCATATAGAACAATGGAAAAAAGACTAGAACAGGGATATGGACACAGATTTACTCTTAGCTTTGTCATTTCTAACAGATTCTTTGCGAACTCCGTGCCAATGACAGAGTAAGTCTAAGTCACAGAGATATTGTAACTTCTAGTAAACTTTGAAAATGCCCTGAAATCCGAATGGCCTTTTAACTAAAGGAGGGTATTGGCTGCAAACACAAACGAATGTCTTCAGCAACAAGGATTAACCATGTACTTATCCCTTCTTCTACAGATTTTCCATAAAAGGGCCAACTGAAGAAAATAGCTGTGCTGCCGTCAAGGAAAACAAAATTTATTCTGAAACCTGCAGCAGTGTTTTCAGATGGATTTGTCAATCAATCAATAATCTATAATCAAAGTTTTTTGCCAATTAAGGTTTAATATTAATATTAAGGAGTCAGAATTTAAAAGCACAATTAAAAAATAGAAGTGTGATTAAACAACAAAATGTCTTCTCTATGTTCCCTCCATCATCTACATGGATCCCAACCTTAGAGTACACCATGTAAACCATCTAAAATATGCCCCTTCAATGTTTTATGTGGTAATATAATAAAGTATGAGTCCATGCATTCATACTCAGGATGTTTATTCACTTTCATTTTACAACAAATATGATCAAATTACATCTGTTTTTCTGTATTGTGCTTGTTTAATTTGTAACAATATCCTACGCAAATTTCATACAATTCTGAGTTGCATTATAGTGTGGATTTATATATGTTTTTTTTACTGGTTTGTTGATAAGCATTAACTTTGTTTTCAAGTTTTTTCTGCTGTAAACTATGCTGCAATAAACATTTTGAACATCTTTTTAAAAAGTAGTACCTTTTATTTCTTTGATATAAACCTTAAAACTGGATTTGCAACTCAAAAGCATTAAATATTTTGTTTGCTTTAGATTTTATACAATTTTCATCTAAATTTAGAAACTATCATAAACGTATAACATTACAGGTACAGAGCAAAAGCACTTTCCTTCTTCCTGAACCTCTTGAGAATTACTTGCCAGATTGATACATTTTACTATGAAAATTTCAAGTATCATTGGATACTTTTGTGCATATTTTCTAAAAAAAAATCCTCTACTTAATCACAATTACGTGATCAAAATTAATAAACCAGCATCAACACAGTGCTACCATCTAGTTCCCAGACTCTCTTTAAGGTTTGCCATTTGTCTCTAAAGGATCCAGCTCAGAATCATCTTCTGCGTTTAGTTATTATGTCTCTTTAATCTCCTTCCCTTTGGAAGAGTTCTTTAGCCTTCCTTGTTATTCACAACTTGGCACTTTGGAATACTACAACCCAGTTTTTCTGCAAAATGCTCTTTAATCTCAATCTGTCTGATTATTTCTCGTTGTCATATTCAACTGCTCCTTGGCAGAAACAGTGAGAAGTTCTTATTGCATCCCGTCAGGAAGCACACATATTTATTTGTCCATTGTTGATGCCATTGACTTTGTTCACATGCTTAATGTGATATCTATCAGACTTCACTGTAAAGTTTCTCTTTCCCTTTGTATTTAATTAATATTTTGTGGACAATAACAAAGATGGCTTTAACATTCCCTTCAGCTTGATTAAATTTTAGACAAGCTTTGTTCTTCCTATCTTATGAGTCCCTGACTCCTCATTTTTAGACTGTTTACTTTAGGAAATTTGTGATTGCAAATTCTGTGTCTGCTTCTTTGAGATGTAAATCTTTCAAAGAGCTTTTTAAAGGCTTTACAACCCAGAAGTGCCTATCTTAAGGACCAGAGAGTCATTCCTTCGAAATGTAACTAACCATCAAGAAAAGTGGAACCTCTATTTCTTAGTTTCTGTGGGAAGGTAGGAGGCTAACTTCAGTGGGCACCTAGAACCAAGTTGTAAAACAAACATTACAGGTACAGAGCAAAAGCTCAGTGTCAGGCTCCTTGCTTGGCTGGGAGTCTGCTGCTCCTCCCTCTCTCCTGCTGTGCTCTCTCAAATAAATAAAATCTTTAAAAAAGAGAAAGAACCAAATGTTAGAAGCATTTTCTTTAAAATGTGAAATTAATTAAAAAACAAGAGTTGTGAAATTCTCTCCTATCATGAAGACCCGTAAAAGATGGCAGACACATATGGTGTATGATGCCCCCCCACCCTAGCTCTGCAAAACACTGCTGTCCTCTGTTTCAGCAGATTTTCGTTCTCTAGAATAATGTAAACAATTACACTGCCATATAAAAAAGTAACAATTCTAAAAAATAATAAAATTACATAGTTGGAATAGCATAAGCTTCAGATACATTTAATAGGGATACATATAATAAATAACATGACTTATTAGAAAAGCTATAAATCATACAAGATGATAAACACCAATACAACATATATATTATAAATTAATAAAAAATAATATTTTAAATATAGCACTCTTCAAATTGACCTATAGATCCTGTGAAATTAATTACAGGCATTTTCTAAAATTGCTATAGAAAAAAAAAGATCCAGGCAACTTGAAAAGAAGAAAAATAAGTTGAAGTAAGTTATTTTGACAATTATCAAGATGTATTATCAGGTTCGAACATTAAAGTAGTGAAGTGTTGAAAATTAAATTATACAGAGGGAAAGAAAAAAAGGATGACAAAATTCAGGTAACCATGTCAGTTAGTGCATTTTCCGCCTACAAATCCATTTTCTTACTGTGTAGCATCTAGCCGTTGCTGCACCATCATCATCTAAGTAAGCACATTTTTCACTTCCTCTCACAGGAAACCTATGATAAAGGGATTAAACACCATGTAAGAAAGAAATCCTGTGATTTCTCACTTGCCCAATGACCATTAAAAAAAAAAAAAATCTTTCCAGCGTCCTGAAAAGTGTGCTGTGGCACAGTGCTCTCTTGTTAAGGGGCAAATACCTGTACCAAATTAGACCATAAAAGTTTCTCTTCCAAGAATTTATACCTGTTAAACTGACATTAAGAGAGTTATGTGTAATCAGCAGAACTACCAGTTTATATGAACCAATAGTTCTCAACACAAGGTGATTTTTGCTTTGTGTTCCCTACTCCACCCTCCAGTAGTGTTGAGAAATTCTAATATAAACTAAGTGGCTAAACGGCTGGTGGTCACCATTTAGGGTGGTTATGTGGAGGTCATATGTGCAGTAAATTTTGCAAAATGGTAGCTATGAAGCCCAGATAAAAATCAAGTTAAAATGAACAGGAAGTTTAAATTGAACTGTAAAAGGTGTCAGCAAACAGGTAGCATGAGGTTTGAAAAATAAATACAAATTGGAGAATATAGGCTAAAATCAGGCATATGTTTCTTGGAATTTTTTTTTTTTTTTTTTTGGTACAGACCAAAAAACACAGTTTATGAATCACTGGTCTTTATTTTCAAAATAACCAGCAAAGATCTTCCTTCTTATATCTTAATTTCCAACCTCCCTGGTTGATTCTTAGAACTAATCTTAATACATGATACAATTTTCCCTATCTCATTTTTCCAATACACACCCAAACCTTGGGCTCTAGAGAAAGGCAGCTAATGCAAAGTTTTTGGAGAAGGCTGTGCTGTCTAAATTTAAATAATCCCCCAAAGAAAGAAACTCACCATTTGTTAAATATGGTTCCATTTACCCATCGTCCTGTTTGATTTTCTGTCATCTCCAGCCCAATCCATTGATCAGAAGTGCATTTGTATCGCTTAAGAAATCCCTTTAGAGACAAAATAAATTTCATATGTTTTTTAGTTTTTGCTACAACCTATTGCGTCCCCCTTGCTTTGCAGGTTTTGAGGGGCAAGGCAACAAATGTTCAACTCCCACTTCACCAGAAAATAGCTATGGGATTTTGAAAAAGCATTTCACTCTCTGACCCTCAGTTTTCTTACTTGTAAACAAAGATGTGAGGTAAGTTTTCTTTAAGATACTTTTTGATTCCAAATTGATAAATACTCAATATGGAAATCTATTCTTCCAGGATTTTAATATTGTAAACTCCTGGAAAACCAAAGGTTGCAAATGACTTCCTACACAGCCTTTCTAATCATCGGATATTTATTATAATGTTTTTCCACTTCACAGTAAATACTAGTATATTGATTTCAATATTATATTTTACTTCATATTCTCTCCTAAAAGTATTGCATGGACACATGCACATACACATATACACAAACACACACACCCTTCATATATCCAATTCTTTTAGAATTTAATTCTCAAATTTTATTTTTCAGTCAAAAATTTCTATTTCTAAAGAAATAGATCATTCAGGAGAAAAACCCTGAAAAATTCAGGAGAAAGATCATTCAGGAGAAAAATATAACTTTATCCTCATATTTCTCCTTATTCATTCAATGTTGAAATTTCTTGCTGCCTTGGAACCTTTTTAACCATACAGTTATATACAGAAAGTCATTGAGTCTATTATGCCACTTAATAGCTGGGAAACCACAAACTTGATATTGTATCATTCCATGTTTCAATTTTATGATAAATATAAAGGATACAGTTCACAACACTATGGTCCATTCCTGTCTATAACAGTGACACTACTAATAAACTTTGACATTTTAATATACCATTTTTCTGCAGAATTTAATAAATTTATTTGAAAAAAAATTAACTCATTGAGCTAAGCTTTGGGTTTGTAAAAGAACAGGTTAGTCAAACACTGTGTCTGAATTCACAGAGTTTCATTTATAGTGAAGAAACTAATGTAAACATAGGGTTAGAAAATATCTTCCTGGATAAGGAGAAGAATGTCACTATAATAAATACAAAGTGAAATTTACTTTACAAGAAAGAAGTATCTGAATCTTTATAAGGCAATTGCATATCAGGTATGCTTTAAGAGGTGTATCTGGAAGGGAAGAATAGGATATTCCATAATAAAAACAGAGGATAAGGAAGAAGAGGGCAATTCATATTCTAGGCTTAGGAAAGAGCTTGCTTGAAGGCAAAAAAAAATGTGAGAAAGGATAAATGTATTGACAATCACAGTATGTATGTTATTGGATAATTGGGAAAATCGGATGAGTTTCAGTAGTTGTGGTCTTAGTGACATGGAACAGGGATGGCATTTCCAAAAGCCTCTCCTAGGAAAAATGTTAATTATTATTTGCTCACTAAAAGAATACCCATGTGGTTTCTTATAAAAGATGCAAGATAACTTTACATAGGTGGAAATAAATATGAAAAATATTTCATGAAACAAGCTGTATTTCATTTTAACTAAGGAAAACATTTTGTAATTTAAGTAAACAAATATGATATTTTAATTAAACCATTTTAAATAAACAGTGCTTTATTTTTTATCACTCTTCACAGATAACTTTACTTCATTTTGTTACTTAAATTTTCCCCAGATTATATAGTAAATATAGGCATCTATGACCTTCAAAATATATTAGGAAATTGTAAGATCAAAGTCTCTTTTCTTGATCCAAAGAGTACAATCATTTTTATCTGCTACGTTTAATAATGTCTCTTAAGTTCAAAACTAATTATTTTGGTATGCTCTGATCTTTGTGTTCTATGATATTCACTATTTTTGTCAGCTTTTGCTGACAAGAGTCTTATAAGTGAAGATTTTTAAAGTATTTTACCTTAACTCTTTACCTCTCAAAAATTTTACTAGCACTCAATATTTTTCCATCTTGTCTAAATTAGCAAATTTAGACATTTTCCCCCGAAAGGAACTGTAAAGGACAATTTAAGAATTTCTTAGAATGTTCATTGCAAATATCTTGCAAAAGTTAACAATGAAACCACTGACTACATACAGAAGATCTTCTATTAACTCAAGTTTGCATCTTACTTGTTGATTTGCTGTGTCTTACTCTTAACATACTTAGTTTTTAAATTTATTTGGATTTCTATACCTTTTGTTGCAACCAAAATAGTTGTTTTACTGCACTGGTCTATAGATTGCCCCCATCCAGTTCACATCCACTTAAATTTGAACCAACCTTTATGTAGATTGCCCAAATATATTTTATTGACCACAGAATTAAGAGAATTCTCTTTTAACCATTTTAAATGCTGTGTTGTGCTGCTTAACATGTTAACACTTCTTAACTGCAAATTATTCAAGTTATCTTACCTCTTATATTGATCCTTTACCTAATTTTTAAAATTTGAGCATAGTTGATGTACAATATTACATTAGTTTCGGGTGTACAACATAGTGTTTCAACAAATTTATGCATTACAGCATACTCATCACAAGTGTAGATACCATCTGTCACCATACAAGGCTATTACAATATCATTGATTGTTCCCTATGCTGTGCCTTTTCCCCCCATGACTTATTCATTCTATAACTGGAAATCTTCACTTCTCATTCCCTTTCACCCATTTTGCCCATCCCCCCACCCCCTTCCCTCTGGCAACCACCAGTTTGTTCTCTGTATTTCCAGGTCTGATTTTGCTTTTTGTTTGTTTATTCATTTTTTTTTGAGACCACACATGAGTAAACCATATCTTGACCCTTAACTTTTAAAGAGACTAGACAGAAGTAAAAACATATGCTTATCGCATAAATGATTGAGGGAAAGAACAAATTTCACAAGTGCAGAAGCATGTAGTTGCAAAATCCTCTGTTAAAGTTCTAGAAGATTTCCTTATTCATAGGATTTTTACCATGTAAATCAATACTTATTTTAAAATGGGCCGTTAAGCTTTTAATTTGTACCTGCCTTTATGGTATAGCAAATGCAATAATTTCAAATAAGACATAGTGTGTGTTCAGTGGAAGCTCACGCTTCAGTCTAAGAAGACTTTCAGTAACATACCTATTCTTAACTCATAGTGAGTGCTCTGATGGAAGCTGTGATGGAACCTCAGAGAGAGCAAAGCAAGACTGAGAAGTCAGAGGAAGCTTCCTCAAAGGGGGTAGATTGGAGAATCCCATCCTTCCTAAAACAGTCGTTTTCCTGCAGTACTGACTTTTAAAAGGATTCCAAATAATATCAAGTTCTTTGATTTATACTTAAAATACAAAAATATCTGTCAAGTCTACTCCTTGATGTAAGCCTTACACTATTCAAAACAAACATAACCAAGTTTTACAACTGTATCTCATATGGCAAGCTCTAAAAATCTCTGGCATAGACAGGCATGTGTGAAAAAAATTTTAAAATCATAATATCATTTGAATATTTCCAATGCCTCTACTGAAGAAATTGCATAAGAATTGTGTGTCAAATTACCATTTCCTCGTCAGTGTCAATCATAGTTAGGTCAGCATGTTGAGTGACACAGTTGTGTCTACTTGAATTCCAATCTTGTTGTTCTTCAGAGAAATAATAACATTTGTTTTGGAAACCAATCCAATCATCTGGGCAGGAATCCCGAGTACTCTTACATACTAAACCTGGAAATGAGACAAACACATTTATTAAAGTCCAGTAGAAATAATATATCACTGTATTTTGAGATCAATGGGGAAAGACAAGATTGTGATATAAGATTTTGATTATGACCAGAATTGCATATCTGTCATGCAATAAATTGAAAGACAAATTTCATGTTGTGTTAAAAGACAGCAGTTCAGGATTTGATAGGACACTGATATTCTTTTCAACCCAAATCCCAGTGGTCCATCATCCATCATAGGGCTACCAGTGTGATTTTTACTTGAGTTAAGTCACCTATACCACTTTTGGGTAAGTGAAATATAACAAAATCCTCGCATTATCTGAGGGTAAAAAAGTAGTAATTTATGTTAGGCTGTTATAATCTAGAACACATGTTTTAGTTTCTAAGGAAACAATGAAAAGAATAAAACGGAATATATAATTAACAGTATGTGTGTTTGATTGGTTATTGTTAGCTAGTTACCACCATCATTGTATGACTCTGAGTTAGCCACTGAAAAGAACCCACATGAGATTTTGAAGGTGGGAGTAAAGCAGAAAATTTTATTCTTAGAGACCTAGGGCATAGGAAATTCACAGGCCTTTAATGAGTTTGCTCTTGGTAGTCTTGGCAGCTTGATGTCTTTTTTAGACTTTAATCTTATGTTCTCCAAACTCATTAGTGCTTTAAGCCAAAATCATTAGTGACTATTTCTCCTCCAGCTACACAGCTTTCAGACCATCACTCCTCAGCTCCTTCCACAGTCATGTTATTCCTAATTCCCATATTAAAGTCCTATTCTTGTAACATTTTCAGTGTCTGTTTTCCTGAAGGCACCCAGAATGAATCAGTTCTGGATACTAAAAGTGGGTCTAAAGGAGCAAAACCTTAAGGATGAGCTATGGTATTGATTATCCACATGATTCACTTTAAAGGCATTGATTCAAACACCAGTCATAAATGGGATGCTGGTGATATATGATATATGAACATAAGACAAATTATCACCTATAGTAAACCTGATGCCAAGTACCTATAGAAGGTAAAGCCTTTAACACTCTTTTCTTTTTCTTTTTTTCTTTCTGAAAAAAGATTTTATTTATTTATTTGACAGAGCAAGAGAGGGAACACAGCAGGGGGAGTGGGAGAAGGATAAGCAGGCTTCCCACTGAACAGGCAGCCAGATTCAGGGGCTCAAACCCAGGACCCTGGGATCATGACCTGAACAGACACTTAATGACTGAGCCACCCAGGAGCCCCACCTTTTTCTTTTCTTTGTCTTTTTTTTTAAATTTAATTCCAGTTAGTTAACATATATTGTTATACTAGTTTCAGGTGTAAATATTGTGATTCACCACTTCCATACATCCCCCTGTGCTCATCACAAGTGCCCTCCTTCATCCTCATCATCTATTTAACCCATCCCCCACCTCCTTCCCCTCTGATAATCATCAGTTTGTTAGTGGGGCGTCTGGGTGGCTCAGTCTGTTAAGCATCTGCCTTCGGCTCAGGTCATGATCCCAGGGTCCTGGGATTGAGCCCCACATTGGGTTCCCTGCTCATGGGGAAGCCTGCTTCCCCCTCTCCCATTGCTTGTGTTCTCTCTCTCGCTGTTGCTCTGTCAAATAAATAAAATCTTAAAAAAAAAATCATCAGTTTGTTCTCTATAATTAAGTTTGTTTCCCGATTTGTCTCACTTTTTTTCCCCTTTGCTTGTTTTGTTTCTTAAATTCCACATGTGAGTGAAATCATATGGTATTTGTCTATCTCTGACTGACTTATTGCACTTAGCATTATACTGTCTAGCTCCATCCATCTCATTACAAATGGTGAGATTTCGTTCTTTGTCATGCCAAATTATATTCCACTGTAAATATATATCACATCTCTTTTACCCAGTTGTCTACTGATGGACTCATGGGCGACTCCATACCTTGGTTATTATAAATAACGCTGCTATAAACGTAAGGGTGCATGTACCCCTTTGAATTAATGTTTTCATATTCCTTGGGTAAATAGCCAGGAGTGTGACTGCTGGATCATAAGGTAGTTTGATTTTTAAATTTTTAAGGAACCTCCATACTGTTTTCCAAGGTGGCTGCATTGTTTGCATTTCCAACAACAATGAATGAATATTCCTTTCTCTCCACATCCTCACCAACACCTGTTGTTTCTTGTGTTGTGGATTTTAGCCATTCTGACAGGTGTGAGGGCATATCTCATTATAGTTTTGATTTATACTTCCTTGATAGGTGATACTGAACGTCTTTTTATGTGTGTGTTGGCTATATGTATGTCTTCTTTGGAGAAATGTCTGTTCATGTCTTCTGCCCATTTTTAAATTGGATTATTTGTCTTTTGGGTGTTGAGTTTTATAAGTTCTTTATATATTTTGGAGACTAACTCTTAATGGAATATGTCATTGGCAAAATATCTTGTCTCATCCCATAGTTTGCCTTTTAGTTTTGTTATTTTCCTCACTGTGCAGATGCTTTTTATTTTGATGTAGTTTAACACCTTTTTCTTTTTTTTTTTTTTAATTTTATTTATTCATTTGAGACAGAGAGATACAGAGAGAGAGAGAGAGCATGAGCAGGGGGAGAGGCAGAGGGAGAAAGAGAAGCAGACTCCATGCTGAGTGTGGAGCCCCAATGTGGGGCTCAATCTCACGACTCAAGATCACTCAATCTCACAACTGCTCAACTGACTGAGCCAGCCAAGTGCCCCTAAAATACCATGCTTAATGGAGAAATATTTAAAAACTTTCTCATGGATTTAAGAATGAGGTAATGATACAACCCTAACTATTTTTCTTCAACCCTGTAGTGGAAGTTCAAGCCAGTAAAAGAAGGCAATACACTGAAAGGTATAAAGATTTTAAAAGAATAAATAAAAACACTTCTATTTGCTGATAATCTGAATGCTTACATAAACTTCCAGATGAAGACTGATAGTTATTTAAATTAATTATCAATATAAAACACACATTAACAAATTTAGAAGAAAGGAAATCTTTCTTTCAGATCACAATGGAGTTAACCACATTAATCACAATGGAATTTCTGCATTCAGATCACATTGCAATTAAACCAGAAGTCAATAACAGAAAGATAGCTGAAAGATTTCCCAAACCATGTCGATAAAACAACACAGATCTAAATAGCACATGGACCAAAGAAGAAATCTCAAGAGAAATTTTAAAATGTTTTGAACTGAAGAAAAATAAAGACACAACTTATCAAAACTTGTGGGATGCAGCAAAAGCAATGCTTACAGGAAAATATATGCTATTGAAAACATACTTTAGAAAAGAAAAAGATCTGAGGCACCTGGGTGGCTCAGTGGGTTAAGCCTCTGCCTTCGGCTCAGGTCATGATCTCAGGGTCCTGGGATTGAGCCCCGCATCGGGCTCTCTGATCAGCAGGGAGCCTGTTTCCCCTTCTCTCTCTGTCTGCCTCTCTGCCTACTTGTGATCTCTCATTCCCTCTGTCAAATGATTAAATAAAATTTAAAAAAAAAGAAAAGAAAAATGTAAAATCAATCATCTAAGTTTTCATCTTAAAAAACTAATAAAAGACAACTAAACCCAAGTAAACAGAGGAGAAGAAATAATAAGAAATACAACAAAAATCAATGAAATAAAAGTAGGAAATTAACAAAGAAAATTTAAAAAATCAAAAGTTTGTTCTTTGAGGAAAAATAAAATCAGCTAACTTCTACCCAGGTTAACTATGCCAAAAAAAAAAAAAAAAAAGAGAGAGAGAGAGAGAGAGAAAGGATGCAGATTAATAATATCAGAAATGAAAGAGAAGACATCATTACAGATCAATGGAAATCAAAATATAATAAAGAAATACTATGAATAACTTAATTACCCAATATTTGCTAACCTAAATGAAATGGACCAACTCCTTGAATAACACAATCTTCCAAAACTCAAATGAGAAAAAACAATATGAATAGGCCTATATCTATTAAATAAATTGAATGAATAATTAGTAATATCTCAAAACTTCTGTTCACCAGACCCAGATAGATTCACTGGTGAATTCTACCAAACATTTAAGGAAGAAATTATACCAGTCCTCTATAATCTTTTTCAGAGGATAGAAGTAGATAGAATACTTCCTAACTGAATCTATGAGGCAAGCATTACCCTAATACCAAAACCAGACAAAGATAAGAAAAGGAAACTTTTCTTACATATATCTCATGTACATAGACACAAAAATCCTCAACAAAATATTAACAAATTCAATCCAACAGTATATAAAAAGAGGTATATACCTTGACAAAGTGGGATTTATCTCAGATCTGTAAAGCTGGTTCAGCATTTGAAAATCAATTAATGTCATATATCATATCAACAGGCTAAAAAAGAAAAGTGACATGATTCACGATCATATGAATAAAAGCATTTGACAAAAATCTAACATTTGCGACACAAACTCCCAATAATCTAGGAAGAGAAGGGGCACTTCCTCAACTTGATAAAGACTATTTACAGGGGCGCCTGGGTGGCTCAGTGGGTTAAAGCCTCTGCTTTTGGCTCAGGTCATGATTCCAGGGTCCTGGGATCAAAACCAACACCGGGTTCTCTGCTCAGTAGGGATCCTGCTTACCCCACTCCGCCTCTGCCTGCCTATCTGCCTACTTGTGATCTCTGTCAAATAAATAAATAAAATATTTTTTAAAAAAGACTATTTACAAAAATACCCTACAGATTATATAATACTTAATGGCGAGAAACTGGAGGCTTCCCCACTGAAATGAGCTTTCCCTTCTCACCACTACTTTTTATTATCATACTAAAAGTTCCATGTAATGCAAGAATGCAAGATAAGAAAATGACAGGCCTACATATTGGAAAGGAGAGATGTTCAGAGATGACATGATCATTCTATAGAAAATCTGAAAAAAAAAAAACCCTAAAAAAAACAAAAACTAAACCCAATTCCTTTGTTCAGAAATGACATGATCACTTCTGTAGAAAATCTGAAAGAAGTTAAAAAAAAAACAACCCAAAAGACAATTCCTTGAACTAATAAATAATCATGGCAAGTTTGGGGGATACAGGTTAACATGCAAAAGTCAGTTGTTTTCCCTTGTACCAGAAATAAAGATGTGTAATTTGAAATTAAAAATAAAATAATGACTTACATTAGAATCCTCCAAAATTGAATACTTACATATAAATCTAATAAAATATATACTATATTATCTATCTAAGGAAAAGTACAAAATTCTGATGAACAAAATCAAAGAACAAAACACTTTTTAGAGATACATTCTATGTTTATAATCAGGAAGACACAATATTGTTGACATGTTAGTTCTTTCCCAACTTGAGCTAAAGATTTGTTGAAATCCCAATCAAATTCTAGTCAGGTTATCTACGAATACCAACAAATTAATTCTAACATTTATATTGAGAAGCAAAATGTAAAGAATAACCAACTCAATTTGGAAGAAGAACAAAATTGGGGGACTAACACTACCCAACATCAAGACTTGCTATAAAACTACGGTAATCTCTAAGGCAGTGTGTAGTATCGATGAAAGAATAGACAAATAAACCAATGTAATAGAGAAGGAAGATCAAAGATAGGTTTACATAAATGTCATCACCTGAACTTGAACAAAGGAGCAAAGACAATATAATGGAGCTAAGATAGTCTTTTCAACTAACGGTGCTAAAACAACTAGACATTCACATACAAAAAAAATTAATCTAAACCCAGACTTTCCATTCTTCATAAAAATTAACTCAAAACATATCAAAGACTTAAATGTAAACACAAAACTAAAAAAATTCTGTAAGATTTCATAGGAGCAAACCTTAATGACCATGGCTATGGTGATGATTTTTTAGATACAATGCCAAAGTCACAGCCTATGAAAGCAATAATTAATAAGCTGTACTTCATTACATTTTTTTTTAAAGATTTTATTTATTTATTTGACAGACAGAGATCACAAGTAGGCAGAGAGGCAGGCAGAGAGAGAGGAAGGGAAGAGTCTCCCGGCTGAGCAGAGAGACTGAGGCAGGGCTCAATCCCAGGACCCTGGGATCATGACCTGAGCTGAAGGCAGAGGCTTTAACCCACTGAGCCACCCAGGGGCCCAAAAATGTGCAACACTTCACGAATTTGCATATCATCCTTGCACAGGGGCCATACTAATCTTTTCTGTATTGTTCCAATTTTAGTATATGTGCTGCTGAAGCGAGCACTACTTTTTTCTTTTAATTAAAAAGTTTTTAATTGTGGCAAAAAGTACATAATGTTAAATTAACCATCTTAACCAGTTCTAAGTACAGTTGAACAGTGTTGAGTTTGTTTACATTGTTGTGAACCAATCTCCAGAAGTTTTTTAACTTTCTAAACTGAAATTCTGTATCCATTCAATAGCATCATCCAGATACCTAGCCCCCATCCCTCAGCCCCTGGCAATTACCATTTCCTTTCTGTCTCTGTGAGTTTGACTACTCTAGGTACCTCATGTAAATGGAATCATGCAGTATTTATCCTTTTTGTGATTGGCTTATTTGACTTAGTGTAATCCCCTCCAGGGTCAGCCATATTGAGGCATAGAGCATGATTTCCTTGCACTTCATTAAAATTAAACATTTTTGCTCTGTGAAAAACAATGTCAAGAAAATGAGAAGACAAACCACAGACTGGGAGAACATACTTACAAAAGACTCATCTGATGAAGAACTATTATCCAAACATATAAAGAACACTTAAAATTCAACAATGAGAAAAGAAACAACCTAAAACCTGAACAGACACCTCAGCAAAGAAGATATATAGATGGCAAATAAATATAAGAAAATATGCTCCACATTGTATGTCATTAGGAAAATGCAAATGTAAACAACAACGGGATACTACACACCTGTTAGAAAGGCCAAAATCCAGGAGACTGACAATACCAAATTCTGGTGAGGATGTGGAGCAACAGGAACTTCCATTCATTGCCAGTGGGAATGCAAAATGGTAAGGCACTTTGAAATGTATTTGGAGGTTTCCCACCAAACTAAACACTCTTACCATACAATCCAGCAATTGCACTCCTTGGTATTTACCCAAAGGAGATGAAAACTTTTGTCCACACAAAAACCTAGACACGGTTTTTAAGCAACCAAGATGGCCTCCAGTAAGTGCGTAGATAAATAAGCTGTGATACATTCGACAGTGGAATATTATTCAGCGCAAACAAACAAAAACCTCTCAAACCATAAGACACAGAGGATCCTTAGATACATATTACTAAGTGAAAAAAGCCCATCTGAAAAGATTATATACTCTATGATTCTAACTGTATGACATTCTGGAAAAGTCAAAACGATGGAGACAGTAAAAAGATTAGTGATTGCCAGTGGCTGGAATTTGAGAATAGATGAATATGTGGGGCATAGAAGATTTTGGAGGCAGTGAAGATGCTCTGTAGGATACCAGAATGAAGGATAGATGTCATTATACATTTTTCAAAATTCAGAATGCACAAAACCAGGAATGAAGTGTAAAGTAAACTATGTACGTTTCAATAAATTGCTTCAGATCAGAAGACTATTAATGAAGAAAAGCACATTTGACATTATACCCAAACACTTATAACAATCAATTTCAAAAGTGTTATAGTTCTGGATGTGAAATTAATAGAAATATAATGAATGCTACAATGGAAACTCTAGAGTAATATCTTCATGCATGTGGAGTACAGCAAATTTCCTAAAAAGAATGTAAAACATAATAAAAATAGAGAAAAAAATTTAAAAAATTCAAACTATCTAAAAATTAAGAACTTCCCTTCATTGAAAAACATTACAGAAAATAAATGTAAACTTCAGAAAGATTTTTAGTATACTTAAATTTAAATAGCAGAAGATATTTACAATAGAAATGCAAAACATTTTTATTGATTATATTAAAGAATGCCTATGAATCTAACAAAAAACAAAGAGCTAACTCAAGTATTTGAATATACCCATCACAAAATACTGTAACTAAGTGAGCTAAGTTCAATACGACAAGGAGCTTAACAGTGTTGGTCATCAAGAAAACGTCAATTAAATTCACTATAAGGTAATAGCGCACACTCATCAAAATGGCAAAAATGGGTAAAACTGACAACAAAGTGTTGACCAGTATGTTAACCAACCAATATGTCATAAACTTTGGGCTGGGTTGTTTACAATCTATGGAATTATTTACTAAAGTTGACATATATATACTACATGGTTTAATAATTTTTCTCGTAAGTGTATCCCAAATCATACCCACTATTCACTAAAAGTCTAAAAACATAAGGATGTTCAAACAGCATAGTCTGCAGTAGTAAAAATGTGGCACGATCCAAATGTCCATCATGAGTAGAATGATTAATAAAATAATATATAGCATGAGATATTCTACAGCGAGGATCTGTAAACTACAGCCTGAGGCCAAAATCAGAGTAAAATGCAAAATGATTTTACAATTTAAAATCATCAATAAAATAATAAATAACAGAAAATCAAAACAATTAAAAGAGGAGTAACATTTTGTGACACATGAAAATATTCAAATTTTCATGTTTAACTACAGTGAAACACAGCAAGCACAATTGTTTACATATCATGTGCGGCTGTTTTTTCACTACAAATGCTGAATGGAGTACTTGCAACACAAACTGTATGGCTAACAAAGATACATTTATTTAATATCTGGCTCTTTGCCTAAAAATTTTTCCAACCCCTTTCAAAAATGACGTAATGAAATTTTGCTACCGGTTATGACATGGAAGAATCACACAAACATGTTGTGGAACAAAAACAACAAGATGCAAAGAATAAGTAAGAATTGTATGATCTTATTTATGGAAAAATTTTTAAATGGGCAAAACTAAACTAGTCCATAGAAATCAAAATAGAGATTGCCATTGGTATGGGAATGATGGTGGAATGTGACATTATCAGGGTGAATGATTTTGTCTTAATCATTTTTGCATCTCCCAATGCTTTACATAGGTCATGTAATTCATAATAACCCATTCATTATACCCATGAAATAGATCATGGATAATGGGGAAAGAGTGAGAAAAATAAGAAAAGATCATTCAATAGAGGCCATAGAAAAGTAAAAAATAATAAGTAAAGAAATAAAAAATGTAATTTACTCACCTATTCCAGTAATTACAATATTAATGAGAGTGAAAGATATTGCAAGCAAAATACATATGAGAATCTTCTTATAGCTGTTCTTAAGACCTGAAAAAAATTAATTTTAGAAACAGGTAAAAGAAAGATTAAATTTGCATTCATGACTATAACTAACAAACTCCTTTTAGCAATTTATTCCACTATTTCATCAGATAACACAAACCTACCATTTCTGTTTGTTATATGGAAAAAAAAAAACTTGCTTCTTTTTGGAAATTTCTCAGTTTATCCTTACATTCAATCTAGTGTTACCATTGACCTTACTGTCATAGTCCAAGGAATCAAATATGTATAATTCTTTAGGGTAGAATTTCTTAAGATCTGGAGCCACTCCCAGGCCTTCAATATCCTTCTTCTATGGTACAATATCAGCACATCTTAACACTCCTTGAATATTTCTAAGATCATCTACTTTTTAACTAATGAAAACTTTATTTTAAAGGATAGGTAGCATAACATATTTGAAAGTTCATAAATAATCAATCCAAAGATTTGGAATTGAAATTTTTGCTGCAAATGATCAAAGGACCTTGAACAAGACACTACTTTCTTTTTTTCCTGGCCTGGTATTTCTTCATCTACAAAGTCAGCAGAACAGAAAAATTAGTGCCCATTTGGGGAAAAAAATAGACATAAGTTTTTTTGAAATAAAACAATTTTGTTATTTTATGTGATTATAAACATCCTTACTGTAAAATTTATGATACTCTAAGATAGACAGTAAACTTATTGAGGGCATTTATCATTCCTATCTTTTTCCTGGTGAACAGCTATTCTTTTGTTGAATAAACGTTTTTCATTGTGGATGTATGGAAGATATTAAATTTAAAACACATCTAAATTTCTACTCCTTCAACATTACCAGCATTATCATTTGGGTTAACATCCTTCCATCCATATATCTCTCTAATCCTTTTTTCACATATATAACCTCGCCTACAAATACACATGATTTTAAATCAGTACACTCATCAAGTACCCACTATTTTATATTCTAATGTTTTCAGTTAACAATTTGTTCTTCTCATATGTGGTTGACTGTTAAGAATGGCCCCAGTGAATCATGGCCCCCCTGTGTCCACTACCGTTTTGACACATGATCCTGTTCGATCCTGTTCCTCCTCCCATCAAGAGATATACTGTATTCCCCAACACTTGAATATGAACTGCCTTATGCCTTGCTTTAGCCAGGAGACTGTGGCAGATGTGATACTGAAACTTTAGAGCCCAAGTCTTAAGAGACTTTGTAATTCCTACTTTCACTGTTTTTGAGTCCCACGCAACAGAGGAGACATGAGCCATTCCTATTGAATCTGTACTTATCCCTAAACCTTAGAACCATAAGCAATAGCCACTAAAATTTGGAGGTGGTTGTTCATTCAGAGAAACAGGTAAATTTACACATCATGTAGAAGAATAATTTGACATAAGAATTTGAATGATGGATTTAAAAAAAAGTCCTCTTCCAATGGGTATTTGGGCTGTCCCACCCTTTTTGAGTTTTAACCATAATTAGAATTATAGTTTAAATGTCTTGCATATTTGTCTAATTATCTTCTCAAGAAAAAAATCTCAAAAATAAATAAATTGGCATATATTGAATAGATATTCTTCCAAAAGGATAGTAGCAATCTACACTATCATGAACAACATATGAAAACATTCGTACTTATAAAAATTCATAATAATTGTTTAAAAGTACCATAAAGAGGGAGAGGGAATGCAGCTAGAGAAAACTAGCATTGTTTTTGAGCCACCAGACGGTTATTTCAGTTATGTTGTAAATATAATTAGAAATCATGTCTAACCTGCGTGTTTCTGCCAAATTTCTGAAAAGTCCTGTCATTAGTTTTACATTTCTTCTAACCATCTGGGATTTCAAAGCTACATAATAAACATGAACTACAGTGCTACACTTGTGAGGCAGCATCGTGTTTATTTGATCATTCTTTGACAAATATTTACTAATCACCTACTATGTGCTAGTTTCCATAAACATAAAAATAAACAAAAGCTCTTCTGCTACTTATATTTGGTGGAGAAGACACAGTCACCTGAAAAAAAAATTAAAAATTACAGATTGCAACAAGAGTTGGAAGGCGATAAGCTGGGTGATTGATAAAGGCAAATAACCAGAAAAGATGGTGGGTGGGAGGTGGAATTCTGTGGAACTGACATTAAAACCAAACCTAAAATATGAGCAGTGGCCATTTATGTGAAATAAACCAGAGAAAGAATTTTAAGCAAAGAGAAGAGCAAGTTCAAGTGCCTTAAATCAGGAAAGAATGGAAAAGAACATGGCGAAGTAGAAGGAGTCTGATTTGGTCAAAAGTAGCAGAGAATACTGACTAGTTAGGAACAAAATGATGCTAAGCTTTAAACTTTGGGAAAGAACTTGACTTTCTTCAAAGTATAATGGGAAGCTACTGAATTGTTTTAGGTGGGTGTTTGGCACTGCCAAATTTATGCTTTTAAAAGTTCCTTGTGACTAGTGAGTGGAGAGGTCATTTAGGGAGCTATAACTCTAATTAAATCTAATTATGGGGATCTCATAAACAAGAGTGGTAGGGGTGGAGATAGAAAAATCAAGTGGAGCACTTGGAGGGCACTGGTATCCTTGATAGAGTGCCTTCAGTCACACAGAATAAAGGTACACTGTTGGAATAAGGAAGTAAAATCAGCATTTCAGAGAAACTTGTGCTGTGTGTATTGAGGCAAGCAAAGAGGTAGTTAAAATGAGGGGAGTGGTTATCATGAGGTTTTTTTTTAAACATTTAACACATAATGTTTCTTTTGTTCATTTGGGGGTGATTTAAAATGGAAGGTATAGATTGTCAATACAGGCAAAAGAGGGAGAGAATAATTAAATTAAGAAGAAGAATTCTTGCACTGGCTACGGGGGATGTGGTCTGAAGTACAAAAGGAAGGGGTAGTCCTATGTAAGAGAAATGACACTTCCTCCAACGCAGCAAAAGTCAAAAAAGAGGAGAAACAAAACATACACCTGTCTTTTCAGCCTTTTGGTTCCATATATGCCTTGGTCCCAAGCTAGAGTTCATGCTCTTTCTAGTGGGGTTTTAATCACTTTTCAAGTGTCACCATATTAATTGCTCTAATTCCCTATTAGTTTTCTTCAAATATCAGCTATCAAGAAAACAAGCACATTCCTCCTTTTTCTATAGCATCATTCAAGTCAATGTGTCATTATGACATTCTATTTGTTCGTGAATTGGCAGTGTGAACAAAAGAACATTATTGTTATAAATATTACAGGTCAAAATCTTGATCGAAATTTTATAGTGTATAACTTTATTTTCTTACCTCTTTTGACCCTATTAATCTCTTCATCCACTAAATAACATTCTCTCTTTTATATTTTTTTAATTTTCATTATTTTGAGAGAGAGGGAGCATGCAAGTGACAGGAAGGACAGGGAGAGAACCTCAAGTAGACTCATTGCTCAGCATGGAGCCTGACTCAAGGCTCATCCCAGGACCTTGAGATCAGGATGGGAGGATGTCAGACACTTAAAGGGCTGAATCCCCAGGCTCCCTCCCCTATCTCTTTTTTTTGAAATTAGAGAATATATGTGTGCTATGTTTTCAGAAGTTCTGGCATATGATAGTAATTAAATAAAAGAAAGCTTATGCTATTGTTTTTTCTTGTGTTATAGGTCTCCCATCCTTCCATATTTTAATTATTGTGTGTGGGGGGGAGGGAACATGAAGATCATTTACTGCAATATTAAGTGGAATTTTTTAAATGTAATATTTCTATTTATTATTTTAAGTAGGTAGTGAGCCTCTTTGTAATCCTTCCCTCCAGGATGATTGTTGAAAGAAAACCCAAAACTGCTTAGAATCAATGACCCTTCTTTAAAAAAAAAATAAGCTTATTAAAGGGATGATTCTAAGAATCGTGGAGGTGTTTTAAAAAGAGGAAATGCCTCCAAAATCAACAAGAAGAAAGACGCATACCTCCTGACAATGGGAGAAACGCTCGTTTGCATTACAGAAACAGAGAGTCCTTTCCATGGCAAAGTGGACAAGATATTAGATCATTTAATTCCGTGGTGCAGTTGAGAATGCTAGATCCTGTACGCATACAACACCAGACTCAAAAAGATGCATCTGCCATTGATGGGGCGAAGAAACAGTGTGGCTGTTGTTACAACTGTAGCACAGAAATAGCTGGACTAGAGCCAAAAGGCTAACTGATGTTGGGATGTATGTTTTCACAAATAATCAGAGAAAAGAGATGACTAAGATTCTCTCCATGTTTCGATGGCTCAATAAAGCTAGGAAATGTCAGACAACCCGGAAGAACACACTCCCCCACACTCTCAATATCACCAAACAGCAAAGATTAAATGTCCTGTCAGCTCAGTGGGATGCAGACTTGGAGTGACATTTAGTTTGATACAGGACACTAATGAATTGGACATTTACTGCATTTCTCATATGCAGGTACACATTTAAGCATGCGACATGTTCATTCTCTAATCTAAATCTAAACCTAAAATCTACTTTTCTACATTCATATAAATAGCTTCCACTTTATAAGTTCCTTCTCTTTACCCCTATACTCAATGATCAACACTTGTACACTGCAAAATTATCCAAAAAACAAAAAGAACAGAACCTGTTGTTTTCCCACTGTGAATTTAGTAGTGAGAGATGAATTTCAAAGAAGGTGCTCAACCCTCATAATGTGTTCAACAAAGGAATGTAAAAGCAGATAACATCCCTGGGTAGCTCAATAAAAGTCCATTTAATTAATAATGTAACTAAAATGGTTCTAAACTCATCCCTGTGATAATCTAGACAGCTAAGGATTCCAATTACTTTCCCTATAGAAAAGCTGACTCAATTAATTTCTCCCTGTTTCTGGCTCTGATCTCTGTGCTCGATTCTGTAGCACATATACTAAAATTGACAATCATCTCCAAGGAGAGATAAGAGGAAAAACCCAGGGTGACCAATGAATTTAAAACTAAATAAAATACACTTTTCCCTACCTGACAGCTATGGGGAAAAAAAAATCACAAATTACTAATAAGAAAAAATAATATAAAAGAAAATATTAAAAAATAAATAAAATATTAAAAAAAATTTATCATGCACTAAATTAACTATTGCAATGGTGTTTATAAGTTCAAATTATATATCTATATATGCTACATATAATATTTACATATACATAATATTACTTAGTAAATTAAAGACTATATGTAATATATATCATTTATTTATACATAAAATACATAAATTCATATTGTTGATCAATCTTTAGGGTAGAAATTAACATTGACTTTATGAGTGGCTAGAAAACATCCTTATAACTTTGGTTCTGATATTTTCATGTTATTATCTAATATTTGATCCCACTGTCCCAAAACCTTTTGATCTAACCTTAGACAGAATTATTAAATGGTCAAAAAATGAGGAATAAGTATCTATGCATTCTAATATGAACTGTAGTAACAAAAACTTTTAACTGTTGCATGCACTAATAAATTGAAAAGAATTAAATGGCAAATGTCTAAAATTCACCAGAGTCCCTAAATCGATCATTGTATTTAATGCATTTTAACCTCTCTTCTTCACCATATTTTGATTAAGAAGACCCTTGTTGAAATAACTTTGAAAGATTTTTCTCCTTGATTTAGAATTTGGATCTTACATATTCTGAACTTGCTAGCTGGTAGGTCTAAAGCTACTAAGCTGTTTTCTAGTTTCTATTGTTTTGTTTTTTTTTTTTAAGATTTTATTTATTTATTTGACGGACAGAGATCACAAGCAGGCAGAGAGGCAAGCAGAGAGAGAGGAAGGGAAGCAGGCTCCCTGCTGAGCAGAGAGCCTGATGCAGGGCTCAATTCCAGGACCCTGGGATCATGACCTTGAAGGCAGAGGATTTAACCCACTGAGCCACCCAGGCACCCCATCTAGTTTCTAGTTTTAATTTTAAAGTGCATTTTCTTTTCTTATCCTTCTTGAGGTTGACAGAAACATTTTCAAGACATCAGAGTACTAATGATTCTTTAGATAAGAGGAAGATAGGGAGATAATCTCTCTGCTATTAAGTACCCGCAAAGTCTGGCTTATTTTGATTCCACTCACTGTCCATAAACAACCTTTTAAGACATTTAGAAATACTGGCCAAAATTTTCATACTTTGTCTTCATTCTGGGCCTTGAATGAATATGTGGAGCAAATTTAACATCTTCTCCAGTATTCGTTTTATTAAATATTTAGTAAAAATGAAATTAAATCTTGAACAGTTTTAAGCTGCGGTTAACCCCTCTCCACTATCAGTTAAGATAATCTCCATTCATAAGACAAAATAGCAATTCCAAATCTGAATTTTGTTGCCACAATTTTCATTTTATGGAGATGTTAATTCAAAAAAGGATTTTTCTGTTTGATGAAAAAAAAAAAACAACAAAACCTGTCCCATACCTTGGAAGGCTTTTAACATAATGTCAAAATTTCTATCAATAACTTTCATTCTTAACAACTGTAAATGTCCTTACCTTGTTTTTTTTCATTGGTTCTTTGATTCCTGTGATCAGTCTGAGTAAGTATCAGGGGGCTTTGTGTCATCTTTTCCAAAACTTCTCTTCAAATTTGCAAATTAAATATAAAAATGTTATTAGACTCTTTAGAAGCAGCTTCAAACTAGAGTTACTCTACCTTAGAAAAACAGAATAATGTTAAGCAGTCTTTCTCAAAATGAAAGTAACTGCGTCTGATTGAGTGAAACTATTGCCTAAACACAATTTCTTCCTGTAAAACAAAACCAAAAAAAATGTGCAGAAGAAAGAGGAAGTTCCCTAAAATATAAGAAATAACAAGCTTGTAGATTCTTATTTTCTCTATAGGGGATCCCCGTCGAAAAACAACAAAATATTGAAGAGGCTGTTTTTTCGATTGTTTCAAGAGTAGTATATAACTATTGTCCTTCCAGGGCCATAGGAGGTAAGAACATTAATTAATTAAAAGTCATGATTTAAGACGTGTGTTTAGACATGTGCTCAGACATAACAATCATGTTTAGAAAGACAATCTTAAAGGTGATGATATCAATAATGAGAAAGCTATGTTTCAAGCTGGCTACTGAAACAAGAATATAAACAATTTTCTCTCTTTCTCAGATGCTATCACAGTGACGTGCACACCCTCACACTCCTACACAAAGAGAAAAAGGAAAGCTATCACGGGGGCACGCACACTCACACAGTCCTACACAAAAAGAAAACAAAGAGAAAAAGGAAACTAAAGTTAAAAGGTACTCAAGATATTATCAATGTTCAAGGGTAACACTATGAAGCTAGTGTTAGATTATCAGGAAAAAATTTCCTTTTCAAATCTCTCCTCATCAGAATTTTCAAATGATTTCATATTCTTTTTCAGTAAATATATTCAAATTCTACAGAGATGCAGCTGATGTCCTACAGGTTCCTTCAGGATTAACACCATATCTGTTCTGACAGGGACTCTTTAAAGGGAAAAGGAAATGAGAATGGAGAGGAACGTAGAAGGCAAAGAAATGAAAAGAAAAAAAATGCAAAGAGAATAATCCCATTTAATACAGGATTAAACTCTTCCAGACGGCCTTGAATATACAGCTCTGGTCACTTCTATCATCACGCAAAACAAAATTACATGAGATAAAATACCGATAACAAAATTATTCCATTTTGGAACAGAAAGAAGACTAAACGTTTGGGCAGAAATGAACCATTCCTTCTATGTCATCAGCAAAATATTCTAGGGATTCCACTATCATAGTTGAATGAAATTTAGTTTGGTTTCTAAGGAGAAGCAATTAAGATATACAATTTCATGCAAAATACAAAACATTTCTATCAACTCAAAGTGTTTTCTGATGAACTTTTGCAGTTCATCCCAGGAACCAGGCAGCCACTTATCTAATATCAACAGAGATGAGTTTTGCTGGGTTTAGAATTTTATTTAAATGGAGTCATGCACCCTTGTTGGTCTGGTATCTTTTGCACAGTAAAATGTTTTGGAGTTTCATCCAGATTGTGACATAGACCAGTAGTTCATTCCTTTTTGTTGTTGAGTAGAATCTCATTGTGTGACTATATAATAATTTGCTTATCCATTACTGCATTTGGTTGTTTCCACTTTTTGACTATCATAAAATCAGCATCGATATTTCTGTTAGTCTTTCTGTGGACATTTATTTTCTAATCTTTTGAGGAAATACATAGTAGGGGAATTGCTAGGTCAAATAGAAAATATGTTTGTATTTTTTGTGATAAGAACACTCCACATGTGATCTGGGAGATGATGGATATGTCTGTTATCTCAATTGTGGTAATGGTACCATAGGTGTTTGCATATGTCGAAACACATCAGATTGTACACATTAAGTATGTGCAGTTTTTTTGTATATCAATTATACCTCAATAAAGCTGTTTTTTAAAAAAAATAGATGTTTAATTTTATAAACATAATATATCTTCTAAGGAGGTTGTTCTTCCAAGTAGAACAGTTGCATTTCCTTCATATCAACAACAGCATCTGACAGGGTCAGTCTTTTTAATTTTCACCATTCTAGTAGGTATGTGGAGATATCTAAATGTAGTTTTAATCTCTGAGAATCTGTTGAGCCTTTTCTCATAGGCTGATGGCAATTAATATATCTTTTTCTCTAAAGATTCTATTTATTTGTTAGGGAGAGAGCAACCAACAGTGGGAAGAGCAGGCAGAGGGAGAAGCAGGCTCCCCGCTGAGCAAGGAGCCCAATGTGGGGTTAGATCTCAGGATCCTGGGATCATGACGTGAGGTGAAGGCATACGCTTAACAGACTGAGCCACCCAGGCACCTCAATATATCCTTCTTGGTGAACTCTCTATTCAGATATTTTGCCAATTTTTATAGGATGATTTGTCTTCTTTTTAATGGGTTGTAAGATATATATCTTATATTTGTTATATGTGGTTATGTTTATGTATATGTCTTATAACTCATTGAAAAGAAGGCAAATCATCCTATAAAAATATATATAATGAGTTGTAAACTAATATATAAACAATATGGAAACAATTCCTTTGTCAGATATACGTATTACAAATATTTTCCACCATTTGTAGAGTGTCTTTTCCTAAAAGCTTTCTCAAAACCCTCAGAAATCTAGAACCCTCTAAATGTTGAGCTCTCTAGACTTTTGAAAGTGGCGTATTCTCCATTGTTAAAGTCTAACATTTATCTTTGCTTCAAGATGATGCTGAATCCTCTGCCATCAAAGAAACTACACACCCTCCTTATGATTATCCCTTCCTTCCCCTCCTGATCATAAAGCCAGTAACTAAGATTAGCTATTAATCTTAATACTCAGGAGCAATTCTGATCTGACCAACATGTAATGGCAACCTACAGAGTATACAGTGTGATCAGATTCCAGGGATGTTAGATCAAGAGAGAAACACAGAGCTGGATAAGAGAGATTTTATCAACATTGGAGTATTCTCTTAAGGCATAAGAATGAATAACTTGGGAAAATGTTTTGAGCAGTGCTGATAAACTGTTAAAATAACTCCAAGAAGATTGAAGAATGTAATAGCCTATGCTAAGCAGAGTAAAATACCAGAATTGCTGTGGAAGATAAAGAGAAGATAAAAATACAAAAGTACTCACAGCACTTGGCATTCTGTAGTGGGTATACTCTTATGGACAGGAGCATGATATGGTAGTGGGATGGTATGATGGTCACCCTATGAAGAAAGAAATAAAGTATGCAGTGACAGGAGAACATAAGCATCACTGAGAAGCTTACTGCAGATTTCCTCTCTAGACCAAGGTTTACAAAAGGAGATGCCTTCACAGACTTGGATTTACAGATAGCATTGAGACTGAAAGGACCTTGGAGTAGCAGAGGTTAAACCGTGGCACCAGTCAACTCTGAAACAGGTTAACAAATCCTGTAATGAGGGTTGAATTTGGAGTAGCATCTAGATTCCTGACCAAGAGAAGGTTACAGAAATGTTAATGTCTCTGAGGTAAGACAGATAGATAGCTGAAAAGGATATTTTTACTTACGTGCTAGTCTTTAACCTGGTGCAACAGAGAAAAAGAGAACAACTGCCAAAACCCTAGTTTATATAATTGCTGATACCTGTGATGTAATCACTTTCACCATAGCTGATTTCAAGTTACCAATGTGACATCACTAAATGCCAGAGTTGAAAAGAGATGAGCAATAGTGGATGATTATATAGTATTTCTATCATATGGATATAGTAGATGTAAAAAATTTCATGTGCAGATAATGGTAAATTACAGTAAAAATAACCAGAAATTGAGTTATGCCAAGTATTTATTACCTTTGTTTTTAATATAATTTATTTAATTTTAGGTTTAGATAATGTAATTTTAAACAATAATTGTGTTCAATGATTGGCCCACAAAGTCCTGAAAATTTAATAGTCAAATCTTGCAAACATACCACCGGGTTCTGCTCAACACCTACAATAGAAATAAACCAAAAATGGATGATCAGTAGACTAAGGGAAACCACTCCCCCAAAGTTATAAATTATTACCTCATCCTACTTCTGCCTGAGCCTGTTTTTTTACCCAATTATTAAAGGAAAAGGCAAGTCTTCAGAAAGAAGATTACATGGCTAGCATAAATCAAAATGATTCCCTCAATCCAATCCCAAAGGGACTTCCATTAGTTGTCTCAGGGTACCGTTTCAAAGTACCACTGGCTGGGTGACTTAAATAATAGAAATCAATTTTCTCACAGTTTTAGAGTCTGGAGGTCCAAGATCAAAGCACCAGAGAATTGATAATCTGATGAAACCACTCTTCCTTGCTTGCTGATGGCTATCTTTTCACTGTTTCCTCATATTATTTTTTGTTGGTATGCATGGACTGACAGCACATTGGTGTCTCATCCCTTCTTATGAGGACACCAGTTGTATCAGATTAAGCCTCAACCCTTATGTCCTCATTTACCTTTAATTATCTCCTTAAATATCCTAACTCCAAATATAGTACAATGGGGGTTAGAGCTTCAGTAGATGAATCTAGAGAGACAAAATTTAGTTCATAATGTGCCATCCTCTGGCCCTTCAAATAGCATAACCTTCTTGCATGTTAAATATATTCAACCCACCCCACCCAGTAGCCTAAGTCTTACCTAACCAGCATTAATTCCAAGTCCAAAGTCTTATTTAATTATGTCTGGTGAACCTTCAAGTATGATTCACCTTGAGACAAAATTCCTCTCTAGCTGTGAAACTGAATAATACAAGTTATGTCCTTACAAGTTATAATGGTGAGATCAGTTCAGGTAGAAATTCTTATTCCAAAAGGGAGAAATCAGAAAGAATAAAGGGAGGGGTGACACCCTCCAAGCCAGTCCAAAACTTAAGAAAATTTCACTACTCTTAGGGCTCAAGAGTAATCCCCTTTGGCAGAATGCTCTGCTCTGTGGGCCCACTGATGAATAATGTTACCACAGGACCCTAGGTTTCTCAGCTCTGAGTGGCAGCCTTGCCCTTGAGAGCCTAAGTAAAGACTCTCTGAAACTGAGGAAGTTGTCCCACACTCTGAAATTGAGTAGAAAATAGCCTTGTCCCTCCCCATTCCCTACTTCCTCCTCTTGCCCTATGTTCTGGGCTTGTGATGGGAGTGGCAGACCTGATGATCCCTAACAGTCTTTAGTGTTTTCTTTCCCTTTTCTTGAAGGATAAACTATGTTCATAGAACCCCGACAGTCTGAAAACCTTTTATTT